ACACACACACACACACACACACACACACAGTGCTTAGAAGAGAAACTGCAAAGCCTGAAACAGATTAGAGAGACAAATGACAATTCAGATGTGACATCAGGAAATTCAAAGTCAGGCGCAGACAAGGGGATGGTAAGCAACAACGGAGACATGCCGTACACGAAGGCCCAAATCAACCCACGTGGGGCCAGGGAAAAGCAAACGAGCACACTGAGTTTCAAACAACAGGTCTGAAGACAATGATGGAAATTCAAAGTCAGGCGCAGACAAGGGGATGGAAAAGCAACAACGGAGACATGCTGTACACGAAGGCCCTATCAGACCCACGTGGGGCCAGGGAAAAGACGATGAGCACACTAAGATCAAGCGACAGGTCCGAAGTCAATGAAGGTTTGTTAATATGCAGAGATTCAAACAGCCAACTGCAGTAGCAAGGGACAGCTGGCCAGGAAAGACAGTCCACTGAGAATAGAAGTTTCAGATATGACAGGGACTGAAGGCAAGAACATGTCAATGGAAGGAAATAAAATGCCTCAGAGGAAGCAGATGGAGACTCAGTGGGAGGAGGAAAGGGCGAGGTCAGTTTTTGTGTACGGCTCCAAAAACCCAAAGGGGGGCCAACTTTGAAGAAATAAAACAGGAAGAAAAAAAAAATGATTGAAGGCTTTCATGAAAACAATAGGGGAGGGCAATATGACCCAGGTGACAAATTTTCAGAGAATTGGGTGGTTTGCGAGTGGAAGGATACGGCCTGTCAGAGTAACTTTCAAGGAAGAATCAGTTCGAATCAGGATTCTGCAAGAGAAAGCAAGATGAGGGACAAAGAGGGTACCAGAGAGTATACCTCGACCGCGACAGAACACAAGAAGAAAGGACTACACTGAAAGAGAGGGTACAGAGACGCAAGGAGGAACGAGAAGCAATGAAATGGAGCAGGACCCGGGACACAGGAGGAAGGGCAAACAAAACCCCACAGAATCTCCCACCAAAAGACCCCACCCGCGACATTCCCAACGCAACTGAGCAACCTATACTACAACCACTCACTGTTCCCTCTGCCACCAACCCCCATATCACAAACCTCACCCCAACAGCTGTCCCTTATGGGCATTCTGACCCCACCCCCAACAACACATACCCCACCTACCCCACAGCCCCATATAGGCCCCCCCAAAGGCTCTCGCTCCCCAACCCCAATAAAACTTGCATGACCACAATGATAGAAAAGAAATAAAGGTTTGGTACACAAACGCGGATGGAATAACGAATAAAAAATGAGGAGTGGAATGAAAGAATCAGTGAAAAATCCCCAGACATCATAGCAGTCACAGAAACAAACTCGCTGAGACAATAACAGACACAATCTTCCCCAAAAGGATATCAGACCTGAGGGAAAAATAGAAGGAGTAGAGGGGGGAGGAGGGTTGCACTGCTCATAAAAAACCAATGGGATTTGAGGAAATGGAAGGCATGGACATGATTGGAGAAAGAGACTAAAATTGTAGGCCACAATTCAGTCCGGAGAACATAAAGTAGTCATTGGAGTGTGTATACCCACCACAGAACTGCAGGAGGCCAAGAGAGGAGTACGAAGAAAACAAAGGGTGATGGTGGACACACTGGCTGAGGTGGAAGAAGAGCTCACTCGAGGGAGAGCAAAGTTACTGGTAATGGGCGATTTCAACCACAGGGAGATCGACTGGGAAAACCTGGAGCCACATGGGGGTCCCGAAACATGGAGAGCCAAGATGATGGATGTGGTACTTGAAAACCTCATGCATCAACATGTCAGGGACACAACCAGAGAGAGAGGGGAGGATGAACCAGCCAAGACTGGATCTTGTGTTCACCCTGAGCAGTTCAGACATCGAGGTACATCACTTACGAGAGGCCCCTTGGAGCTAGCGATCATGTGGTTCTGAGTTTTGACTATATAGTAGAGTTACAAGTGGAGAAGGTAACAGGAACTGAAGGGACAGGCCAAACTATAAAAGGGGGGACTACACAGGTATGAGAAACTTCCTGCAGGAGGTTCAGTGGGACAGAGAAATGGTAGGAAAATCATAAACGAAAATGATGGAATATGTGGCAACAAAGTGCAGGGAGGCAGAGGAAAGTTTTTTTTCCCAAGGGGAAAAAGAAATAATAGGAAGACCAAAACGAGTCCTTGGTTACCCGAAGGTGTAGGGAGGCAAAAAAATAAGTGCAACAGAGAATGGAAAAGGTACAGGAGGCATAGGACCCAGGAAAACAAGGATATTAGTAGAAGAGCCAGAAACAGTATGCGCAGATAAGGAGGAGGCCCAGCGACAGTAAAGAAAACGACATAGCATCGAAAGTCAAAACTGACCCGAAACTGCTGTATAGCCACATTAGGGAAGACAAACAGTCAAGGACCAGGTGATAAGGCTGAGGAAAGAAGGTGGAGAACTCACAAGAAACGATCAAGAGGTATGGGGAGGAGCTCAACACGAGATTTAAGGAAGTATTTACAGTAGAGACAGGAAGGACTCTGGGGGGACAGACCAGATGGGACACCAACAAGGAATACACCAACAAGTGTTGGAGACATACATAAAAGATGAGGAGGAGGTGAAGAAACTGCTAAGGGACATCGATACCTCAAAGGCAATGGGACCGGACAAATCTCTCCATGGGTCCTTAGAGGGAGCAGATATTTTTTGTGCATAACCACTTACCCCAACCTTCAAAACACACCTGGAAACTGGGCAACTACCTGAGGTATGGGAAGACGGCAAATGGAGTTCCCATTTTACAAAAAGGAGACAGAAAAGAGGCACTAAACTATAGAACTGTGTCATTGACGTGTATAGTATGCAAAATTATGGAGAAGATTATCAGGAGGAGAGTGGTGGAGCACCTGGAAAAGGAACAGGAGTATAAATGCCAACCAGCACGGTTCACGGGAAAGGCAAATCCTGTGTCACAAACCTTCTGGAGTTTTATGATAAAATAACAGAAGTAAGACAGAGAGAGAGGGGTGGGTTGATTGCATCTTCTTGGACTGCAAGAAAGCCTTTGACACAGTTCCTCACAAGAGATTAGTGCAGAAGCTAGAGCATCAGCGCATATAACAGGAAGGGCACTGCAATGGATCAGAGAATACCTGACAGGGAGGCAACAACGAGTCATGGTACGTAATGATGTATCACAGTGGGCACCTGTGACGAGCGGGGTCCCACAGGGGTGGGTCCTAGGACCAGTGCTATTTTTGGTATATGTGAACGACATGATGGAAGGGTTAGACTCAGAAGTGTCCCTGTTTGCAGATGATGTGAAGTTTTAATGAGGAGAATTAAATCTGATAGGACCAGGCAGGACTTCAAAGAGACCTGGACAGACTGGACACCGGTCCAGCAAATGGCTTCTCGAATTTAATCCTGCCAAATGCAAAGTCATGAAGATAGGGGGAAGGGGACAGAAGACCACAGACAGAGTATAGGCTAGGTGGGGCCAAAGACTGCAAACCTCACTCAAGGAGAAAGATCTTGGGTGAGTATAAACCGAGCATGTCTCGGAAGCCCCCACATCAATCAGATAACTGCTGCAGCATATGGCGCCTGGCAAACCTGAGAACAGCATTCCGACAAACCCTTTGTAAGGAATCATTCAAGACACTGTACACCGTGTATGTCCCGGCCCATACTGGGGTATGCAGCTCCTGTTTGGAACCCGCACTTGGATAAAAGCACGTCAAGAAACTAGAGAAAGTACAAGGTTGCAACAAGGTTTAGTTCAGAGTAAGGCGGAATGTCCTATTGAAGAAAGATTAAAGGGAAATCGCCCTGACGGACACTGGAGGAACAGGAGGGTCAGGGGAAGACATGATAAACGACATATTTATAAAATATGCGTGGAAATAGACAAGGTGGACAAGGACAGATGATTTCCAGGGAGGGGACACAGAAACAAAAGGCCCACAATTGGAAGTTGAAGGACACAAATGAGTCAGAGAGATAGTAGGAAGTATTTTCTTCAGTCACAGAGTTGTAAGGCAGTGGAAATAGCCTAGGAAAAATGGATTGTACGTGGAGGCCAGGAAACCATACACTGTTTAAGACGAAGGTTTGATAAAGTCATGGAGCGGGGACGAGAGAGGAGGGTCTAGTAGCAACCAGTGAAGAGGGCGGGGCCAGGCAGCTAGGGACTCTACCCCTGCAACAACAATAGGTGAGTACAAAATAGGGTGAGTACAAACCACGTGGGTCCGTGGGGTGCAGGACGTTAGGCTATCAAGGGCTCCGAGAACCTTAGCGTTGTAAGGAGGTTCAATAACAGCTAGCAGTAATCAGTGGTAGTGGAACGTCTCTGTGAACAATGCTACAAGGATAATTAAAGTTATTAGACTTAAACAAACGTGGAGCGAAAGCTGATATCAGAATATTTCAAGGCGCAAACGTTGGGGGTCTTAGGCCGCTGTTGCCACTTTGGCAGCTGGTACGCCTGAAAAGAAGTGACGTCACGGACAAGGTTGTTTTGCCACCATTTTACATATTAAAGTGGAAGTGTTATATAATGTAAAGTGTATACTATCATCAGTGAAGAGTGAATCGAGTGAAGAAGCGGGATGTATGCAGAATATATGGGCTATAACATCACGGGTGAAGGAATCACTCCAAATATAAGGGAATTTAAGGCATACGTAACGGGACGACTTCGTCATCAGCAGTGGCAACTTATCACCGACCATTGAGCGCAAGTTTCATTCACCTATTTGTGGTTGCATGACGAAGCCCTGGCTGGCCTTTGCATACTGTTTGATACTAGTCACTCACTCCTGCAAGCTAATACAGAATTAGTTTAGAAATAGCATAGACATAGTGATATAGTGTTGTCGGTTGTGAGAAGGTAGAGGTCCAGCGAGGAGATAGAGTAGTATTAATTCCAGTAGTTATTAGACAGTAGAATATTAGGAAGCTGGAAGTCCTCTCCCAGTGTGTGAACATGGAACAGGATAATAACCAGCAATAATTGTACTT